GCGGAGCTCTCAGCGCTGGGGTCGGAAACAGCTGACGGTCTTCTGGCAACGTCTTTCCTGCCTCTGCCTCGTCCCCTCTCCTTAGCCTTCCGCTGCTGGGGAAAAAAATAAACGAGGGATGTTGTGATCAGGTTTGGTAAGCCGGTACATGGGTAGGAGCTCGTCTTGCGATCAAAAAGTAAACTGAGGTCTGAAGTCACCAATTCACCAAAAAGCCTGTGCAAACTTTTTGCAACAAAGCCGGCCCTGGAGCCGTCTAAGAACCCTCTGCTTCGAGCTGAGGAAAAAATTCTGGCTCGAGAGCTCCCGAATGAAGTTGCTAAACACGAAACAAGTTTCGGCTCTCTGGTGGGTCGGCGCCTTCCTCTCACTTCCGAGTGGGCCCTTTGATTTGGTGCGGGGGAGAATGGTAAATACACGCTGGGAAACGTAGTCTTCGCTAGGGGGGGAATGAGCAAACGTTTTGTTTTGTCAAGGTCAGAAATGCCTAACTCAGGTACTGATCAATCGTCACTTAGCTGCCAAAAACCATGGGAATCACAATGTTAGTATTTTTAATGGTTAATTTGGGGCTCTTCCTAGCTGCTTCTGAAACTTTAGAACAGCTTTATGCTACAACCCTGAGCTTTTTTTACTTGCTGTGGTTGTCTCGAAATCAAACCAGCTGTAAAATACTGCCTACTTTTAGGCTTAAAATAGTTGAAACCACCAAGTTTCCTGTGGTTTCACATGAAACCATAGGCTTTGTGGTGAGTGTGCCTACTGTTGTAAAATAATGGTGTAGGGCAGAGCCAGGCAACTCAAAGGGTGTATCTGTCACCCCAGTGAAGGGCAAGGGCTGATCAAAGCTCCGAAGGACCTGATATACAGGTTATCTGCAGGAAGCATTTTCAGATTGAGCAGAAAAGAAAGGACAGGCTTCTCTCAGCTCTGGATGACATTCTTATGATCTCAGTGAGAGAGAAACACAGATTTGAAAGCAGCTTATTTACAGGTCGTGCGCATCATTCACAAAAATAAAGTTGAATCTCTGACTTCAACAGAAATCCTGGGGGAGGGGGGATTTCAGTGAGAGCTAATGGTCACTTTTGCTGGAAAAAGAAACTGTAGCTGGGATAAAGCTTTTATTTGCTTATTTTTAATTGGTCTAGTTCTCTAAATCTGCATATGTAGGTCATACCTATAGCACACAAGCAACCTCACTTTGCCTGGTTAAATTTCCTTTCAGGAAGATTGTGTCATTATTCATTTCAATCTTCTGCAGATTTTTCTGTGTATGTAATGTGGGCCCTCCTTGTAACCTTCCACAGCTCCAGAGATGCAGAGGCTGTGGAAATGCGAGAAGACCCTGCGCTCCGCACTCATTCTGCACTGTCAGGAAACTACCCAGTCATTACGGCTGGATCTGAGATACGCTGTCCTCTACTGCCTCTAGCATGGCCAAAGAATACATCTTGACTGAGGTCAGACTTAGGGACACATGGTACCCTGAGTAGGTACAGACTATGCCCATTTCATCCTGAAAGCTTTTTCTTTTCATATCCAGCCTGTTTATCAAACACTGTTCAGGTTGTTTTCTTGTTAAGAACATCATGCAGAGAGAATGCAGACTGAGACAAGACTTATTTAAATGAAACAGATTAAGGCATGTGCAGTGTATGGGTGAATTATGCTCTGATACTAACAGCACTAGAAGGTTGATAAGACTGTACTTACTCTAACCTGACATACCATATGGTAGATGAGTCTTCACCTTTTACCTGCTGGAAATATCCCCTAGTGCATGACTGGAATAGTATTAAAAGAGTCTAGTCACATCCTCAGTAGACAAAAAGCCTTTTTATTGGGGCTACATTTGACATATTTCCTTATCATATTGCAGAAACCATGATACTCTGTTATAAAGAATAAATGTGCTTGCCAGTGCTTGCTGACGGAAACTGTGTCTAACTACAGAGGAGGATGGCACAGCACAGAGCGGAATGCTTCCACCCCAGAGGTAGAGACAGCCCTAATCCAAAGTGAGGTATCTGCCCAGCGCACGGTAGTGAACACATAATGGAATATTAACTTCTCTTGAGCAATAAATCCACCTCTGAAACATCTGTGTGATAATTTACTATAGGTAAACCAAAGTCACTGTGTCAGTCCAAGGAGGTGAGATAAAACAGAACACATTCCCAGATTATTTCTTTTTGCACCTAACTTTATTTGTATAGATGGATGCCCCTGAATGATGCCTGTGGGTGAGAGAGCATGTGGGTGAGAGAGCAGAAGTCAAATGATGTAATTCAGTCACGATTTTCTTGAGGAAATCAGTTGGTTTTCCATATTTAGGCTACTGTGCATATAACAATAACTGAAAGCCTGCGTGTATGATTGGTGTAGTGAGGAAAAGACAATATAAAAGCAGCAAAAACAGGGGCAAAAAGTGTACGGTATGCTGTTTTAAGAACATTTTTTCTTGTTTTTTTAATCCTGGAAAATCTTCCCGAGAATGAAAAAGAGCACAACAGCAAAGAAGAACAGGTAATGGGTTTGGAAAATGTAGAAGGCGAGTTCCTCAATTGTATCAATAACATGAATAATGATGAAGCAGTATAGGAACAAGGCATACTGGCTCGAGGGTCAGAGTAGGTCTTCAAGTCCTTGACTGAACTGTGGAAAAAGGAAAAGATGCACATTATGTCACGTGACTACGTTCCACTCATGCCCGGTCCATGTGTTTCTCCGAGCACACCTGGCACACTTAGTCCACAAAAAGTTGCTGTGAGAGAAGCCAGCATGTGAACTGAGAGCAAATCAGCTATGCTGTGTTAAGTGTCACATTCCCAGCCACATTTTGTCTCTCAGAAATGAAGGTAAGTGACCTCATATATACCACAAGAATCAGCGTGCAGGTACACAAAGCAGTTGATGTGAAGTAGGCACACCCCCATGGTAAGGCTGTTACGTATCCATCTCTACATCTGTGGTACAAACTGTTGCCTATGTTTTTTTCACTGCGTGGTCATTTTCATGCCCGTATGCATGCTGATGGGCAAACTTGCAGGTCCTAATTTAAGAAAATAATTCAGTCATTAATTTGCCTAGTCCAGATGCAAGTCAGTCATTTAGCTAAATAATATGTATTGGACCTGATCCTCATCTGTTTGATATAGCTTGATTGATTCCATTGGAACTGCATTTACTTCACATAACTGTGAGATCCTATCCAGGCCAATGGAACAGCTATATAGAAGAAAAAATAAATTGCATATGGAAAACTTCAGGACTTCTATGGTGGTTATCTAAGTGCCATTATTGTGCATGGTCTGAGCTCCTACGTACAACCACAATGCAAATGCTACAAATACAAACACATCCTTCTATCCTGTCCTGATTTAGAGCACAGAACATGCAAGAGAAGACAAACATGCAAGTACCTTTAAAACATTGATAATTTAGATTCAGATACTCTGCTTACTCTCTAACACAGTCCAATGACAAATTGCGTTAAGTTGGAAGAGAGTCAGGTCCACAGCCAGCCAGTGTGATCAGAAAGAGTCCAGACAAGCAAGACTTGCAGCTGTCCCATTTGCTAAACTCTGCCAAATGCCTCTTCTGGGCTGGACTCCTGTTAAAAACAGACTCATGCCTGAACACACAATAAATTAATCTACTTCTGTAAAAACCAGACTTGCAAAATCTGACTAATTGTCTAGAAAATTTGCATTACTGGAGTAGATTCTTTCATCCACTCATTTATTCATGAATTTATTATGAGTCACCTAACTGTAACCCAGGAAATTGATCCCACTGTGGAAGCAGGAAACAGATCAGAGTGGCATTCAGAGCAATTCCTCTGTTCAAGGGGGAAAAATAAATAAAAAAAAAGTTCTTGGATCCTTACATCATAAACTTAATTCGTGAGTTAACTGTTCTTTAATATATTTTATAGCAATGAATGTTACCATAGCTCATATTACAGGGAGTAGAACAACTCCATTCTCCTTCAGTATGTGTACAAGCTGTAAAGATCACCTACTCAAGTCTAACTTTAAAGGAAGTCACAGTATTACTCAACAAGCAAAGGGATAAAGCCTTACAAATTGCTTAACATAGAATGTGCATGTTGCAGTCGCTATTGCGTTGAACCCTTTTTCCTTTCCCTGCTTACCGATCTTTGTACTGCCTGTTGATGAATCTGATCCATATTCTCTTCATGAAGCCTTTGCTTTTCATTATCCTCATGTTCATATTTCAGTTTAGCCAGCACAAAATCCCACCTCATCCTCTCAAGCTCAATATCGGCTGCGGTGACCTGCCTGCCATGGAGCTGTTCCAGCTCCTCTGCACTGGTGGATACTTCTGACTGCAAAGTAGGGGTTCCTCCACTCATGTCCAAATGTGCCCCATGACACACAGTACCCATGCTCCCTGTTATACTGTCTGAGATGAAAGATGATGTCACATCTCTGATGGCTCCCTGCTGTAAATTGAAGAGAGGGAGGATAAATTCATATTTAAGCTGATAGAATAAACCAGAATATGTTCATCTAAGTACACCCGAGTCTTTGTTCATGATTATTCACACATTTGTATAGTGAGTCACTAGTTCTCTAATATACATTATTTCCCTTTTAAAAGTACGTTCCTAGAGTTAGACATTTTCCATTGAAAGTTGTCTACTAAGTATGAAATATCCATCATGTACAAATTCTTTGACTTGAAAATGTAAAGAAAAATTTTAAAATATTTAATTAGGGCTTGGTTGATCTAAACCAAACACTATGGCTCTTTTGACCAAATGGGAGGATTTCACCTCGTGTGAATTTGATATTAGCCCATGGAAATGGAAGCCACTGAGTTTCTTTACCTCTGAGAAGTGACTCATGATTCTCACTTTTCTTGGCTCAATTTCTTGGCTGATCTACATCTTTCACGATGCACTTAAGTTTTACATATGGAAGAACTGCATTTTCCACTTACCATGTTTCCATGCTGCTGCTTCTTGTTATCATGATTCTGGGCTTCCTGCAAAGTAAGTCGAATATCTTTCTGATCTTCCTCAAGCTCTTCCATAGTTGTTTGGAATGAATAGATTAGAACTCTAGATTGCTGAGTTCTTCTGTATCTCCTTGTATTTCCCGGTCTTTAGCAAACAGTAAATGTATCAACATGGGATACCTCCACTGGTGTTAAAGCATCTCCAGGGGTGTTCTGGAACAGAATAGAGTTATCTGTGCACTAACAATGAAGCAAGTGAACCATATGTAAGAAAAGGTGTGGCTGAGAATAATGTAGGCACAAATACATAGGGCATACTGGAGCCTATGCAGGCTAGGGGCTTAACTCTCATTTATGTTACATCATGTGTCTTGCCTAGATATGAATAGAAAAAAAAATCACTGGATATAGGTCTGTAGGTAAATCTTCTAGAAATCTCACTTGTAGTCTTTTTAAGATGAGAACTTGTCAGCCATTTCCCTTACAGTAACCTGTGGAGCTGGCCAGAGGTCTCCCAGGAAGTAATAGTGTATCACACTTTCAAAAAATGTAACATAATCAATATCCCTCTGCAGCTCAAAGGATGGCTTGACTGAAAGTCTGCCTTAGACTCTGGAGTTTCTTACTGCCTCCAGTGTAGTCAGATCACCACTTGTAGGGTACATCTAGTGATTAGCTAAAAGTCAATACTATCCTTTCAACTGACTGGAGCTCGGGAGACATTTCAGCATGTGAACTAAGAGTTCAACCTCTTGTTTCCAGGCTCATAATACTTGCTGCATTTTATAAAAGTGATATAAAGCCTAGATTTCACACCTGAGAAAAGATTTAGGGAAGTAAGACAACTTCTTTTGTTGTTTGCTACTGAGTTTGAGGAAGAGGAGCAGACGAAGAGACAGTAAAGCAAGCTGATTACCATGGGTAACCGGTGTCCTAAGACAGGACAGCTAGCAGGCTAAATGAAAGGCGACAGTCTCCTCTTCACAGGATTTCCATACAGAAGATGTGAAAGCAGCTGTCCCAGTTCAAAGGCCAGGACACAGTGACTGCAGAGATTCTGCTCTTGGCTGACTTCATAATTGCCCCGTTGCCACAACAAACCGATGCTCTCTGTGGGCAAGGTCACATTCTGTCACATTCCTTGTTTGACCGCTGGGGCAGTATCCAGGCTCTTCAAAGGGAACTGAGCTTACCCCCTCTTCTGTCATGGACCATCCTACTTGGCCACTGTTTTCTCCCTTGTAAATACATCTATACGCTGCAGCGAAGCTTTCTGAAAGAAATCTGTGGACTCCCAGAATGTCTCTGTGCCCAAGCCAACTAGTTCTTTTCAGGGAGGCAGTGCTGTTGGATCAGATAAAGCATCGTGATAATAGCTATCCCATTTCACTGTTCCTGGAGAGTTTCTCTTCAAGGTATTGCCCTCAATCTCATGCATGTAATTAGCCCAGGAATCTCTGCACTGTCCTCTGTTCCTCACTGTAGATATGCCAGCATTTCAGTTTCCCATTTATAAATTGGAATCCCTTGCAGGGACTGGTCATAAGCTCACAGTGACTTCGTGACACAGTAAAGGATGGCCCTGTAGCAAGGTAATGTGAGCCTTTCAAGAATGTTAGAGAAAAGCTTCTTCTCTTATTCAGGAGTAGGGAGACAAAGTTCTACTGCAACTAGTCTGTATAAAGCACCTTTCAGAAGAGGATCTGTCAATTACAGATGATGTAAATAAACACAGGAGCCTCAGTTGCTTTTTGCTGTGTTCCATCCGTCACATAGAGTAGTGCTCAGTCAGTATATTTGCACAGTCGGTGATGTGTGGAGAGCGGGGTGACAGTTCCAGTGAAGATAAGAAGGACTAATGAAGTTACTGAGCCCACTTCCTGTTGCATCATTTATCAAGTGTTCTGTCAATTTACAGCCGGATCAACAAATCCCAAGGCACACTGAAGACAAAATCATACGCAGGGGTCTGGAATTCCATCATTAGTTCTGAGTGAAAATATTAGAGATTTTTTAAACGCTTTTGGTGCCAATGATACGATTAACTGCTTAAACACAGGTTCCAGTTATTGAATAACCAGAAAAAGAGCCAGAAGGGATGTAGGATATTTGTGTGTACATGTGTATTTGCATATTGACCTTATGCTTTCCAAAGGTAATGTGTATTTTCTAAGAGACTGAAATGGAGCTGAGGCAATCTTTGTGCTTTTATTGCAGTTAAGTTTCCTGATAGACAATGCAGACATCATAATGCCTGAAATGTTTACTAATGATGTATTTGTTCAGACAGTTTCAAGACATTCTCATGAATGTTGTCTTAAAGAATGATAAAAGGGATTTTCATCTCTGTCCAGGGATAAAACATTGTAGTGCAGTTAGGCAATCAATCTGGTTTTGCTGAATGGCTTAATTGGCAAGTGGGAGGCACAGGATACTGTTTGGTAGGCATGAAATATAAAGTAAGCCTCCTACAGTAATTAGGTTCTTGAAAAGTCATTCATTCTCCACGTACCAAACACCTTTCAAACTTTTGCAGCTATATTTACTACAGGGTATTTCCAAGAGTTGTGAAGTTCTCATCATTTCACACACTCCTGTACTTGATTTATTTTTTTACAATGTTGCCTTCTAATATAATTTCTTGTACCCCTGAAAAAGTGGAGGCTGTTACTTCCATATTTAAATTATGATCTCTTTTGCTCTGTTTTGATTTCCTCGTCAAACTTGCTGTCACTTTGTCAGCAGAACTGAAGTTAATACATAGCAGGAAGGTGATACTGTTGCCATCATTTATGCTGCAAGTTATTGCCATATATTGCAAAATTTTACTTTCATTTCCTTCTTGATATGATTGTTCCATAGTTGCAAGGACACAGTAGGGTATGTAACAGTTGGGATAACTGCATATATTTAGAGAGTGAGGGACGTTCAGGCGTAAGTAGGAAGTTTCTCTTTGTATTTCAATACCTGAATTTCTCTATAGAGCCTAGTGCATCTCATATGGTATCTATATTGGAGGCCAAATTTAAAGCAGGATGTTAGTAATAGGGACTGCGAACAGGTGTAAAGTATTCCAAAAGAATTCCAAAGGTGGTTTTTTTTTTTGTACTCAGGCACTGCAAGCTCCTACATAATATTTAATCAATGGGCAGGTCAGTAAATGGAGTTGTATATAGATACTAACCAGCTGTTTCAGTCCCCTCAGGTTAGATCACCTTCCAGTACACTGAATCACAGTGCTGCTGTTTGGAAAAATGACAGAGGAATGGCAAAATATTTCTTTAGACTGCAGCTTTGAGGTTGACAAAGTAGTCAGGTAGTCTCCCTTAGATGCCTCATAGGAAATAAATGAGTACATGCTTTGTGGCACACACACTATTGCTATAGATCTGTATGCCCTTGGGTTAATTTGTGACTCTCTTCTTTACATATGGGGAATTGAGTCCCTGGCTAAAACAAATGACATACCCACGCCTGATCTTCAGTCTTACGCTTTATCTGTGCAACCATCCTTCTTTGATCATATTTTCTACTTCCTAATAGCACAGCAGTAGACAAAATTCTTAGAAAGGAAACAAGTATCACATTTCTCCTACATATATTGCCTTTTGAAAACAGACGTAGTTATAAAGTCAGTGATGTACAGAGGCATTCATATCAGAAAGAACAGCATGCATCGGACAACACTGGGTAGATACAACGACTAGCACATACACAATCATTCTCATCTCTTGATCACATTGGAGGTCTTGTGTGTGCACTGGACAGTCAATCTGTGTATAGTGGCAACACCACTAGGACTTCCAGGATGCCAAACATTTAGAAATTCCAGACAAATGGCCAAATTCTCCTTTTTCTTCTTGGACAAAACCTACATGCAAGAAGAGTACACATTTCAGTGAAATTAAGATACACGTAACCCTTGTCAAATATAATGGCCAAAAAAATTGAGATCACTAACATTCCCAAGCTCTTTAAAGGCTAAGATGCCTCCTATTTTTTTTTTTAATCAATTCCAATGAATAATTTTAAATTGTTTTTGCTTCACTGTTCCTTTTAATGAATTTTGATGACCACTCAGAACATACATTTGAATTTCCTGAAGATAAGCACAAAACACATGGCTCTGAACATACTGGATAACAAAGACAATACTATTTAAGCTGTGCTGACAAAAAGTGGTCTCATTGTACTGTAAAACTCATTCGTTTGCTTTTTCCACAGCTTGCCTAATAAACTCAGTATCTCTTCCTGTGTCAGCACTGGGATACTTTGTTTTCATGGGCTGATTTGTCATGGTTTCTTTTCTTTGTGCACCAAGAAAAGAGCTCTTCCATTTTGTTAAAACAGTGGAAAACTATTCACCTGTAAGATTTGATTACCGCATACAAACATACATGCGTACATACATATCTACATACACGATTGTTTTAAGATATTTGCATGTCATGAAGGTCAGAACAGGAAATACGAATATTTCCCATTCGGGCAAATTAATTTTCTAAGTGATGTTTTGTTTGAAGGATATGGGTGTTATAGTAATTTATGATGATATGAAAACCCTCCAGGGATCAGATTATCATCTAGAATAGGTTAGCAAACCTCATTTTCTTCCATGACATTCTGCTATTTTCCATCATCTGAGAATTTGGCCTAGAATATTTCACAACAACTCTGAGGCACTACAGATGAAGCTGTGTTCTTTTACCTCACAAGTCCAGGTAACTTCTTACATCAGTATTTCATGGAACACTGACAGATCTGTTTCATTAGGCCTACATTTTGTAGCTTTCTTAATTTCAGACTTTACTCTGTACTCACTAAAATTCAAACTGTAGTCCAGAAAAGAGAACTTCTTGAAGCCTGGGTCCAACCCCACTCTGGTGTAAAGGTGCAGCCTGGCTTCTTCCAGGGTAGGTATTACAACAATGCTGTCCAGGTGTCTTAAGACTGAAAGATAGTTGAAAGATGAAAGTAGAAGGCTGTGCATGTTGTGTTTGACCTTCCTGAGTAAGCAGAGCAAGCCAACAAGTGCCAGCAACCAGTGCCAAAGCACCACCAGTTTGATTTTCCTG